AATAAATAAATAAAAAGAAAAGAGATATCGTACAAGTCACCTTTATAATCTGAAATTTTTTTGGCAGCCACACTAAAAAAAGTGGACAACATGTGAACTTAATTTTTTTTTTTTAAAGGTGACCGGTAAGGGGATCTTAACCCTTGACTTGATGTTGTCAGCACCACGCTCAGCCAGTGAGCAAACCAGCCATCCCTATATGGGGATTCGAACCTGCAGCCTTGGTGTTATCAGCACCGCACTCTCCCAAGTGAGCCACAGGGCTGGCCCATGTGAACATAATTTTAACCTTATTTTACATGACCCATTTCATGTAATCCATTCTGACGTGCAATCAATATACACAATTATAAGTGAGCAAGTTGACATTACTTTTTGCATATTAAGTCTTTAAAATCTAGGGTGGCTTTTGTACTTCTGGCATATCTCTATTTGGACAGCCACGTTTCAAGGCTCAGGAGCTGTACGTGGCCAGTGGCTGCCATATGGGACCAAGTAGCACCTGGGCCATAGTTGCCCTGGGCTGATACAGTGAGCGGCTATGTGCACTGAAGGCCGGACTGAGCCGGGTCCGTGCTCTTCCCTGGAGGGCGAGATTGGCAGGGAGGGGCCCTCGAGTCACTCCCTGTCCCAGCTGTTTTGGGGCTCCCAGCTCAGTCAGGGAGACAGATGAACGAGGAAACCAACCCTCAAATGAGAGAGTCCAGTGGTAATGGCACGGGGGACTGGTGGATTCAGGAGGGCTCCTCTGAGGAGGTGACGTTTGAGCCCAAAATTGATTGTGAAGATCTGGAAGGAAAAGCGTACTCCGGGCAGAAAGGACAGCACATGCAAAGGCCCTGAGGCAGGCTCACCCTTTGCATGTTTGGGTGACAGCCAGGAAGCTGGTATGGCCAGTGGTGACTGAGGCAGAGGGGAGCTAAGAGTTGGTCGGGGCTGGGGACTTGGTTACTAGGGTGACCAACTGCCCCAGTTTGTCCAGGACTGACGGTTTTCCTGGGATGCAGGACTTTCAGTGCTAAAACCAGAACAGTCAGTCACCTTATCTGTCACCAAACTCCCCTAGCGACCGCCAGCTCCCAGAGGGCGCGGATGTTGCCTGCTTTGTTCCCAGTGGTATTTTCAGCACCTGGAACAGGGCCTGGCACCCAGCAGGCACTCGGTAAATGGCCTGAATGAGTGCCTCTGTCACTGTGGTGGGTCTTGTCCCAGCACTGAGGCAGAGGCCGGCTGGGGTATGGAAAGGGGTTCAGAGGCTGGCTGGTGTGCTCAGTAGGTTAGAGCGTGGTGTTACGACAGCAAGGTCAAGGGTTTGGATCCCCATACTGGCCAGCTGCCAAAAAAATAAGTACAATAAAGGGGTTCGGAGAGGTTTAGCGTTTGCCCAAGACCACACAGCCAGCAGGGCACAAGGCCATCTTGGGACCCTCCAGAATGGAAAGCCACACGCACTGGCTCTGTTTTGCCGGGGACTGTCCCCCATTCGAGTGGTGAAATCCCATGGGGATGGTCACCTTTCCAAAATGGTGACTGTCATGGTCCGGGGCCCGCCACGTGTGTGGGGATCCAGGGGCCCCGGCGCACGGCCCGCTGACCGTCCCCCGCCCCGTCCACAGGCAGGACAAGCTCAAGGTGCACATGCGGAAGCACACGGGCGAGAAGCCATACCTGTGCCAGCAGTGCGGGGCCGCCTTCGCGCACAACTACGACCTGAAGAACCACATGCGTGTGCACACGGGCCTGCGCCCCTACCAGTGCGACAGCTGCTGCAAGACCTTCGTCCGCTCCGACCACCTGCACAGACACCTCAAGAAGGACGGCTGCAACGGCGTCCCCTCGCGTCGCGGCCGCAAGCCCCGCGTCCGGGGTGGGGGGCCCGACCCCAGCACGGGGANCCATCTCCTGGCCGCCCAGACACAAATCTATTTATTTCCAGGCCTGGAGAGAGGGGATAGGACTGGGGCCCTGGGGGGCTTAGCAGGATGGCTCCCGGGGGCTCCCGCCGCCTCCCTTCACGGCACTTACGACCGGCAGGACCCGAGGGACCATCCCTCAGGGCGCCCCCAGCCCACCCTGTCCGCTCCCCGAGCCAGGCCTCCCACACCCCACGTTTGGAGATTCAACACTTTTGTCTTCGCCCCTCTCCTGAGCTCCCCTACCAACTTTTTAAAGCACTTTTTAGATTTTTTTTTCTTTTCCTCCTTAAAAACAAGATTTATATATAGATAGATATATATATAAAATAGACTTTTTCTCAGAGGCACAGGCGCGGCTTGGGTGGCACAGAGCCGAGATCGGAGGGGTCCAGGGTCTCACGTTGGCAGGGATGGGGGGCGAGGCCAGAAGTTCCAATGTCACAAAAGCAATAAAAACCACAATTTTACAAAATGAAAGGAAGGAAGAAAAACAAAACAACAACAACAAAATGGCAACCAACCACATTAGAAGTCTTGGCACTTTGAAACAGAACGGGTACTATACTTTATCTTAATTCTTAATTTAAAAACATGTTTACAAGATGCAACCAACTTCTATGAAAAGTTGAAAAGACAAAAAAAAAAAAAATAAGCGAGAGAGAGAGAGAGAGAGAGCGCGCAAAAGAAATTCCTAAAAGTCGATTTATTTTTGTACAAAATAATAAAAAGCAAAACCCATCACAGACGTAGAATCCACTTCTGTTCCCCAAGGCGAAGAGGGGGGTCAGGCAGCCCTCGGAAGGGACCGGGAGCGCTCCGAGGTGCGGTCTGCGCCTCGCCGCGGACGGTGGCCTCCAAGGCAGGACCGTGGGGTTTTTGTGTCTGCCATGTCCTCCCCGCCCACCCCGCCCGTCCCCTTTTTTGGTTCTGACTTGGAGCTGTCTTACCGCCTGCTAGCCATACAAATGGCCATCTCTGTCCACGGGGACCCCCCCTTACTTACTCCCGAGCTCAGGGATGGGCCCAAGAGAGGGCTGGTCTCCCCACCAGCCAGAGCACCCTGATCGACCCCACTTCCCCCCGCCCCGTCCTCCCACCCTCAGGACCTGCCCTCCAACACGGTGCCCTCTGCATGGCCAGTAAGGAGCCACTGTCTTGGAGGTGCTGTCCCTGTTGAGGGGGGTGACACAGGACCCCCACCTCCAGGGCCTTATAACCTCCCCCTGCACCCCTCTTTTTACTCAAAGGCACTGACTGTAATCCAGGGGCTGGTACCTGCCTCCCCCCAACCTCTGGCTCCCAAAAGGCCCGGTGTTGACCGAGCCGCAGGCCACGGATGGGGGCCAGGGTTGGGGGGACGGTGTTGCCAGACGCCAGCGCGCCCTCACCTGACCCCCTCTCGCATATGCAACGCCTCCCGTGGGACCCTGTACATAGCCGCTCTGCTGAGCTGAGACTCCTCGTCAATGCCCGGGGTGGCGGTGTCCCTGCTCCCCCCACCCCCAGGCACTGGCCCATCTCCCCAGTACCCCCTTTCCTCTGTAACAAAAGTCTTCTCGTCTTTTCTTTTTCTGTTGTTTTTAAAGGGAAGCTTTTTAAGAAGGCAATTTTCATACTGTTCCTACAGGATAGTTTTTGTTTCCTTCCCTCCCTCCCTTCCCCTGCAAACCTGTCAGCCCCCCCTCCCCAAATGTCTCAGGATCCCCCTCCAGGGCCAGTGGAGGGGGCAGGCCCAGGGCCCGGTGGCCTCATTCATGCCCCAATGTCACAGGGGCGAGCTATTTTGGAGAACCATCTGTTGAGGCTGGGCAGGGAGCTCCAGCACCCAGGCCAGGGGACCCCCCCCAACTCCCAGAGAGGTCCCCTGAGGAGTGAGCCCTCTTCCCCCTGCAATAAAACCAACTCAAAAGTCACGGATGTCATCCTGGCTAGTGGGGGCACCTGGACGGTGGGTGGAGCCCTCTGGGACTGTGGTCAGAACACTTTAACACGAGCCTCCTTGGGAATTGCACTAAACCCTTGCCCCTAGCTCCGAGCTCAGCTTCTGCCAGCCCTGCCCCCTACTCTGCCTTAACCGCCAGCCCGTCCTGGGGGCCGCAGTGTCTGCATGGGCCCAGCCCCGGGACACCCCAGCCCAGCCCAGACCCCCCACCCCCAAACTCCGCGCAATCACATACTGTATATAGACGTGGATCGATTTTATTTTTATTCTTTAAATTAAGGTCGTGATAAAGTGTTGCCAAAGATACTGCTGAATTCTCGCGTTTCAGGAAACAAACAAACAAAAAACAAAGATATTTGAGGAGGGTCGTGCCCACTCAACTTGTTAGAAAGGACATAGCAGAACGTTTTTTTGTTTGGTTGTTTGGGGGTTTTTTTGTGTTTTCTTTTTTTGGTGTTTTTTTTTTTTTTTTTTTTTTTAACTGCCTGGTAAAAAAAAAAAAAAAAAGAAAAAAGAAAAACAAAGCGAAATTGTTATTTCCATCATCATGTTGAAGTTGTGTGGACGTGTGCGTGCGTGTGTGTGCGAGAGTGAGGTCCAGGCTGGGGGGGGCTTCAGGCGGGGGCTCCGGGGACACCTTGGGGTCGGGGAGGTGGCATGGCTGGAGCCCCCACCTGGAGCGGTCCCCAGCCTGCGGGGCCCAGGAGAGAGGGGACACCCTTGCTCTGGTTGCTGCTGCTCCTGGCCTGGCCACCCCCACCCCGCCCTGCCTTCTGAGATTAAGAGAAAAAAAGAAAAAAAAGAGGCAAAAAAATTTTTTAAAGTAAAAAAATATATATAAACCAGTGAATGAATGTAAAATGCTGGACCAGGCCCAGCCTGGCACGGGTGTGGGCCTGAGCCCCGCCAGCTCGAGACGGCAATACCAAAGTCTGCCCCCCTTGGGTGGCTCGGCCTGGAGACCCCCCCCAACGTGGCCATGGAGTCTTGTCACCTTATTTGTACACAGCTGTCCCTTTGCTTCCTTCCAAGGGGGGGTCTCTGGTGAGAGAGGAAGGTCCTCCAAACCCCTTCCAGGGTCATCCCTGGAGGAGGGTGGCCGGGGGAGTCTTTGCACTATTTAAACCCATGGGCCATGGCGGGACAAGCCGCCTTGCACGCGGTGGGACCGAGGCAGGGGCTGGGGGTCCCCCCCCAGGACGGAGACCGTCCAGGCAGCTGGAATTGTAGGAGGCGAGACAGAGACTGAAAGGAAAAAACAGGAAAAAAACATTTTAAAAACCAACGAAAAAATAGCAAAAATCCTATTTTTTGAGAAAGAAAGATATTTATATTTGCAGTTTTATTTTAAAAAGTTATTTAAGCTGAGGAAGCAGCCTTCCCAGAGGTGGGGGGAGGGGGTGGCTGATGCAGGACGGGTCGGGGGCCTGGGGGCTTGGGGGCCCCAGGAGCCATAACCTCAGAGTTAAGACTAGCTCGCACTAAATACATAGATTTACATTGGGGGGTTGGGAGGGCAAGGCCAGGAGAGAGAGGGGGCTGGGAGACCCCCATCCAGCGGCTGGGGCTGCCTGGAGGCTTCCGAAGGGGGTCCCGATACCCAGGTTCCCCCACTGCCTCACCCCAGGCCCAGACACAAGGTGCCTTGGACTTTAGGGGGCCAGGCCTGGGAATGGGGGTGCGGGGGTGGCGCCCTCTGGGTACAGAGCACAGAGCAGACATTCCATAGACTGTATTTGAGAGTCTTTATAAGGTGTGGGAGATTTAAAAAAAAATCAGTTGATAAAAATGCACTTTTTGGGGGTGGGGGGAAGCTTTAAAAGTAATTAAAAAAAAAAAAAGACAAAAGATGATGAAAAACCAGAAAAAAAAGTCATTTTTCTTGTACATAAAAAACCACTAAACGCAGCCTGTTACGACCGCTGCCGCCTCTTTTGCCTGATTTCAATGTTCTCTGTGTCTTGTTGGGGGGAGGCCTGGGGAGTGGCGTGGAGGGTTTGGGGGGGCCCTTCCCCTTTCGGCCCTGAAGAATCATGATCCCAGTTCCTCTCATCCACACCACACGCCTTTGGGCCCAGGTTGGCCCGAACTTGCGTATTCATGAGACCCCCACGCTCAGCCCCAGACCCTTCCTTCCTGGCCTGGAGAGATGTTTCCACTTCTCCGAGGTCCCTTTGTTGCGTGGGGGAGGCAGGGGTCATGGACTGAATGACCCAGGGCACCAGGGATGCGGGGTGGAGGCTCCCACGGGGAAGGTGACTCAGTCCTTGGCGGGGGAAGGTGGGCAAACAGGTGGCACCAGGAAGGGGCCCCAGGGACAGCAGGGAAAACCGGCCTGGTGGGTTGTGATCAGAATCTCCAGAATGACCAGGGTCTGGCCCAGCTGCAGGGTTTCTGGAGGCCCTGGTTGGGGGGTCCAGCTCTACCAGGGCCCTCAGAGGCCCCCAGGGTGCTGCCCCAGGCAAGGCCAGGCCCCAGGGAAATGACCAGGGAGCTGCAGCCCCCACCTCTGGGCTGGGGACCCCGGGGAGAACCCCTCCCCCATCTTGTCCCCCAGCCAGACTCAGCCCAGGGTCCAAGGCATCTGTCCCCAGTAATGGAGGTGGGAGCCAGTTGGAGAAGTCCCAGATGGCAGAGCCAGGCCCCGAGTCCACTCAGCCTCAGCTGCTTCCCCTGTGGACTGGGCTCTTCCCAGCAGGAATTATCAGCAAGGCCTGGCCCAGCCCTTGCCCGGAAACACCACCAGCACGGCCGCTTACCTGTCAGCTGTCACCCAATGAGCTGGCTGCAGACATGGGATTCACACCCAGGTCTCCACCATGGGCTGGGGTGGGGGGTGAGGGGGTTGGCGCTTCTACAGTCAGACTCTGTCCTGAACGCCCCCTCCCCGTACCCTGGGCCCTCACGGCACACAGACGCCCTTGCCTAGAGGACGCACAGGGTCAGGAAGCCGAGGGAGCCAGGGGAGCCCATGGCCTCTGGACCAAGGGCCAGAAAGGAAGCAGATGGCAACCACTCAGCCCACAGGGGTCGCTTCACTCACACCCTCGGCCACAGGGAGATGCTTGTTTATGATCGGGGTATCATTCTCACGCCACACAGCTCACACGTGTACAGTAAGTGGTTTCTGGTGTATTCAAAGAATTGCGTAGCCATCACCACTATCTAGTTCCAGAACATTCTCATCACCCCGAAAGAAACCCCATCCCCATCAGCATCACCCCCATCCCCTCCCCAAGTCCCCGGCAACCACGAATCCACTTTCTGTCTCTGTGGATGGGCCTTTTCTGGACATTTCATGTAAATGGAGTCACACACTGTCGCAGCCTTGTTCCTTTTCATGGCTGAGTCATGTTCCAGCATGTGGATGGACCACGTTGTGTTTGTCCATTCATCTGTGGATGGACACTTGAACCGTCTCCACTTTTGGGTTGCAGTGATATGTGCTGAGGAGTGGAATTGCTGGGGCGTACACTACCTCGGCAATTCACTTTTGAGCAAATTCCTGTTTCCACAGTGGTTGCACCATCTTACATCACCACCCTCAGTGTGTGCAGTGAGCACAGTGAATGCAGTGTGTGCATTGAGAGTTGCGTGTGCGCTGAGTGTGGTGTGAAACCTGTGCAGTGTGTGTGCAGTCTGTGCAGTGAGCAGTGAGTGTGCAGTGTGGGTGTAATGAGTGCGCAGTCTGTACGTGAGTTCAGTTGAGTGCAGTGTGTGGGTGCAGTGAGGGTGGAGTGTGTGCAGTGTGCAGAATGCATGCACGCAGTGTGCAGTGCGTGTGTGCAGTGCATGTGCAGTGTGCACAGTCTGTGGGTACAGTGAGGGCACAGTGTGCAGTGCACGGGTGCAGTGTGTGCAATGATTGTGCAGTGCATGTGGGCAGTGCGTGCGTGCAGTGAGGACACAGTGTGCAGTGTGTGCCGATTCCAGTTTCTCTCCATCCAGTAACCACGCCAGCTATCATCTGTCTTGTTCTGGCCACCCTGGTGGGTGTGGAGTGGCACATCCTTGTGGTTTGATGTGCAGCCCTCTCATGACTAAGGGTGTTGACCCTCTCTCCATGTGCTTACAGGCCATTTGGGTGTCTTCTCAGCCACCAGGGGAGACAGGGACCTCTGGGATCTGGACTGCTCTGTCTGAACTCCGGGTCTGGCCCAGCCCAGCCCAGCAGAACCCCAGGGCCAGGCAATTCAAAGTAAAATCTTCCTCCTTCGACAAAATGCTGCACCTTTTGAATTCTGCACCTTCCACAAAAGGGAAAGAAATACATTGATGGGCCTGTTTGTGTCCCTTTCTCCATCCTGTCCCCCTCCCCTGGCACTCATCCTGAGACCACACGTTAAGACAAGAAAGGCACAGAAAGCAGACGCCTCGGTGGCTTCACCTCGACTTTTTTATTTGTTTTTTAAAAACAATTAAATTAGAATACAAATATTAGAAAACAGCGGCCCTCGGCTGCCCAAGCGGGCAGAGTGGGGCCCAACTGCGCAACTGAGTTTATACAGTAAAACTGAATTTGCCCGCGAGCAGATTTTATGTCCCTTTCTTTAGACCTGAAATGATATTGCTTCCTGACTAGGAGAGTTGTTTATACAAAGGAACATTATTCGGGGGGGGGGCGGGGGGGGGGTGGCCGGGAGGGAGAAAAGCAAAAACC